ATGGGCAGCTTCTGACGCACGAGACGGCCGCTGGGGAAAGTCACTGTGAAAGGCGTTGATGAGTGCCGGGTCCAAAATATCCCCCTCCGGAACCCAAGATCTCTCTTCTGGGCCATAACCCTCCCAGTCCACAAGATACTGGAGGGTACCACGGTGCCATCTTAAGTCGAAGATCTTGTGGACTGCATACACCAGACGCCCCTGAATAGTACGCAGGGGTGGTGGACAAGGTTGGGGAGCCACGAGGGGCGAGTGGTGGAACGGTTTCAAGAGGGAGACGTGGAAGGACACATGGATTTTGAGGGTGGGGGGAAGTGCGAGACGATAGGTGACCCTGGATAGGATCCAGAAAGGACCGATGTATCTAGGACCTAGCTTCTTGGAGAACAGGCGTGGAGGTAGGTTCTTAGTGGCTAACCAGACAAACTGTCCTCTCTGAAAATGAGGGGCTGGTCTGCGATTCCGGTTGGCGAAAGTGTCTTGGCGCTGGGTTGACTACCCTCTCAACCGGAGGGGTGTCGGGAATGAGAGAGGGTTGATATCCTAAAGAACATAGGAAGGGAGAGAGTCCTATGGAGGAGGATGTAAGGGAGTTGTGGGCATACTCTGTCCAGGGAAGCAGCGACGACCAGTCATCCTATGAAGAGGAGGTGAAGGCTCTTAGAAAGAAAAGGAGGCATTGGTTAGTTCTTTCTACCTGCCCATTGGCTTCAGGGTGATATCCAGAAGTTAGAGACACATGAGCCCCCAGAGCTTGACAGAAGGCTTTCCAAAAGACAGAGACAAATTGGCGGCCCCTGTCGGAGACCACATCCCTGGGTAAACCGTGTATCTGAAAGACCTGCTGAACCAACAATGCTGCCATTTCATGGGGTGTGGGTAATGCTGGGAGGGGGACAAAATGGGCAGATTTGGAAAAGCGTTCGGAGACCACCATGATTACCATATTGCCTTGACTGTTGGGGAGATCCGTGATGAAGTCCACCGCGATATGAGACCAAGGGCAGCAGGGGACCGGAAGGTGGTGAAGGAGACCAGTTTTCCTGGCCCGAGGGTCTTGGTTCTGGCACAGATCGGACATGCCCGAATATAATCAGCTCTCATGGTAGGCCACCAGAAGTCCGTGGTCAGGAGGTCCAGAGTACGTCTGATACCAGGGTGGCCCGCGAACCAGGAGTCATGACCCCACTGCAACACTGCCGAAAGCAAATTATCCACAACAAAGAGTTTATCCAAGGGACAACAGAGAGGAACCGTAGTTCTGTCCAGGGCACGTCTGACTTGGGCTTCAATAAAGCAGCGAATCGCTGCAACAACATGGTTGGGCGAGACGATAGGTTCCGGTGTGTAGTCCAGGTCTGGGGGTCATGGAGCCGGGAAAGTGCGTCAGCCCTTCCATTCTTGGATCCGGGCAAAGAGGTGATAACAAAAAAGAAACGGGAAAAGAAAAGAGACCGACGAGCCTGTTACGAGTTGAGGCATTTGGCAGATTGGATGTAGGCCAGGTTCTTGTGGTCCGTGATAATAACAAAGGGGTGTTGAGCCCCTTCCAACCAATGTCTCCATTTCTCGAGGGCAAGCTTGATAGCGAGAAGTTCACGATTACCCATGTCGTAATTAATTTAGGCAGGAGAGAGCTTCTTAGAGAAAAAGGCATATGGATGTAGAATGCGCCCTTTTCCATGGCGCTGGGAGAGGACCGCACCAACCCCATAGGCAGAGCCATTAACCTCCACCACGAAAGGCCTGGAGGGATCCAGGTGATGGAGGAGTGGAGCTGAACCAAAGATATACTTCAGGCGTAGGAATGCCTTGTTAGCCTCCGGGTTCCATTTACCCAGGCCAGGTCTGTTATGGGTCAAGGCTGTGATGGGTGCTATGACGGAGCTAAAGTTCATAATGAAGCGCCTGTAAAAATTGGCAAAACCCAGAAAGTGTTGGATCTGTTTCAGATCCCAAGGGACAGGCCAGTCATTCATGGCCGCAACCTTAGTTGAGTCCATCTCCACTGCCAGGGGAGAAATAATGTAGCACAGGAAGCATATCTTCGAGACATGAAAACACACTTCTCAAGCTTAGCGTAGAGTTTATTGTCAATCAGTCTGGACAACACCTCCTGGACGTGGCGGACATGATCCTGAGGGTTGGTGGAAAAAATCAGAATGTCGTCCAGATAAACCAAAACAAAGTTACCAATAATGTCCCTAAAAATGTCATTCATGAAGGACTGGAAGACCGCTGGGGCATTAACGAGGCCAAAGGGCATGACTTGGTATTCATGATGGCCATGCGTGGTCATAAAGGCCGTCTTCCACTCATCCCCTTCGCGTATCCTGATTAGATTGTAAGCCCCCACAGATCTTGTTTCAAAAAGATGGAGGCTCCCCGCAAGAACTCCAAAGCCGATGGAATTAGAGGCAGGGGGTAGTGATGTTTAACCGTAATGGAGTTCAACCCCCTGTAGTCAATACAAGGCCGCAAGGAGCCATCCTTCTTCCCAGTGAAAAAAAACCCGGCACAGGCTGGGGATGAGGAGGAGAGAATAAAGCCTGAGTCCAGGGCTTCCTTAATATAGTCTTGCATGGCCTGATTCTCTGTCTGAGTTAGAGGGTAAATGTGACCCTTGGGTGGGAGGGTTCCTGTCAACAATTCTGTTGAGCAATCACAGGTCAGGGGAGGGGGAGAGAAAGAGCCTTCTGTTTATCAAAGGCCTGTTTCAGATGCACATAATGGGGCGGAATGGTAGATTACCCTTCCATGGGAAGTACTGCACCAGAAACCTTAACAGGGGGGTGACAACAATTGTTATGGCAGGCGTGGCTCCAAGCAATTATCTCATTCCTGGCCCAGGAGATGTGAGGATCATGTTTTATGAGCCAGGGAAGGCCCAGTATTAGAGGGTAGGAGTAAAAATGAAATATTCTCCGCATGCATGGCCCCGACCATGAGAGAAAGGGGGATGGTTTGCCAGATAATCTGACCAGGAGTGAGAGGAGAACCGTACAATGCTTGAATCTTGACTGGGGGTGACACGGACGCCAGAGGAATATTCAATTTTTTAGCAAAAGAGGCATCCTTTCAGCACCTGAGTCGACAAAAACAGACAGAGGTAGGCGAATATCCGACCATGACAGCTCCGCCAGGAAAAAAGACCCAGAAGAGGCCTGATTAAAAACGGCGCTACTGACATTAGCTGTGGGCTGCGGGAGTGATCGAGGTGGATATGGTGGTCTTGAAGGACAGGCAGTGAGTAGATGATCTGATGCAGCGCAATAAAGGCATCGTCCCTCCCAACGGCTCCTTCCTTTTCTTGTGAGGAAAGAGGGGCATGTGGCAGAGCAGGCAGTGAAGGGAGAGATCCCTCAGGACATACAGGTCTGCTTCCAAAGTATCTCTCTGCTCTTCAAATCTTAATGTGGGTGTCCAATTCGACTACCTTGAGCGTTCGCCACTTCCAGGGACTGGGTGTCAACAGGGGTGAGTACCAGATGGTCATTCAAGTCCCCCAACAGACCCTTACAGAAGAGGCAGACCAGAGCCTCCGAGTTCCAGGCAGGCTCAGAGGCAAGGGTTTGAAATTCGACCATGTAATCTTGTAGTGGTCTGTTGCCCTGGTGAAGCACAGACAGCTGAAGGTGAGTCAAGTCCAGGTTATTTTGCGAAAAGCTCGCCTGGAGCCGGTCTGCAAAAAGACGAAATTCGGAGAATTGAGAGTCTCCTCTGGCAAGCAGGACTGCTGCTCAAT